CACTCTTGAAGGTGGTCCCGCACGAGGTGGCCGTGAACGGGGATGTAGCGTGCTTTTGTTGTCTGTTAAAAGCTTGCACTACACTTGTCGTTATCATGTCAGGCTTTTCTTTAAGCGAAGGCACACTGTTACGTAACTACGATTCTTGTGCAATCACAATTTTTGAATTTCTTTGTGAGTGGGACGTTTCTTGGGAACCTAGTTTTCAACAAAACATTTTTTTAAATATTTTTAAACTTCAAATTTATTTAGAACATGTTTGTTGCGAGGGCTTGATAGGCCACAGGGTATGTAAAAAAGTAGTGCAGTTCATACCTGGCAATAATCTGGTCAAAAACTTCTTTCAAAATGTGTCAGTGTTATGGGTATATTTAGCCAATTGAAATGTGCACTGGTGCCCCCACAATGCTAAAAATTTGCCTTGTCCAGCTCCCAGGACGATATATTAAATTCCACAAACTGCTCTAAAGCAAAATTCTTCTGCTCCCAAATGGAAATTTTGCTGCTCCAAAAAGTGCTCCCAATTTAGACTCTGTTATCTCACCCCTGATTCAGCAAAAATCGATGCCAGGGTCTCTGGATGACTATTTACTCATCGTTTACCTGATCCATGTGCGACCGACCGCGAGCTGACAGCTGTTGCTAGTATGTTGCGAGTTGCAGTCTTCCCGTGACGTCAAACTGGTTTTGACACGTCACTGCTAAGCCATACTGAAACTGAAGTATACTCCATACTGAAATTGAAGTTGCATTTTTACAATAGGTGTATTATAAATGTCTTCAATGCATTCTGAAGCACTATGACACTCTATTTAGGGTTCTTGACACCTGTGTTTTTATTTTGACAAACAACTCAAAATTATTTAGAAATAGGGTAAATACTCCTCTAATGCTGGTTGAGGTTATTCCTTACTTTTGCATTCATGCTCTCGTAAACTGTCGGTGAAACTGCTGGTAACCTATTAACCAGTGTGTTTTGCACCATGTGTTAGTGATGGTATTCCTGAAAGTGAGGCTATTGCAATGCCCTTGCTTTTAAACACCTACTTAGCACACAGGAGTCACGGCATGAGCGTACTTGATGCATATGTGGTAGCAGTAGTGCTTGGCACAGGCAGCATAGTCCTTTGCGAATTTGTTCAAGGGCTCAGTTGGATTGAGTGCATTTTTATTTCAGCACATGTTTCTCATGATTTCAGCATATTTCTGAAGAATGTAATGGTAACTGCACCATGAGCAACACCTACTCTTATCGACAGCATAGATAATCTAGCTGAAGTTGTAGAACACATCTATAGTATAACAATCCCACAAAGCCGTCATTCCATTGTGAACAAGGGATCCGTACGGGTCCCGAAACGTCATTGTTTTGTTTGAGATTGGTCAGTGACCTGTTTTATTCAACAATGAGAATATTTATGCATTGACTCCTATGGGCTGCCGACGGGTAATGGAGAATTGTAGCGGAAATTTCTTTGAAGCGGCGTTCATTGTAGCGCGGTTCAACTGTAGTATATTTCTGTTAATGTACTTGGCTGCCAATTTGATACTGCTGATAGCACATTTGAGTGTCATTCTTAAACCTATCTTTTGTTGCTTGTTTATCCAGAGGAATATGTGACATGCCATACGTGCCGGTCTCCAGACACCATTCTACAGAAGGACACACGGCTCTTCTTCCTTCAGTGTGAAAAGTGTGGCTCACGGTGTTCAGTCGTCAGCATCAAATCAGGTTTCCAGGCTGTCACCGGAAAGCGTGCAGCCATTCGAGCCAAGACTGCCTGAAAAGCTTGCCTTTTGTTTTGTGCTGTCTAATAAAAGATTTTTTAAATCTTTGAAAGATGGATCAAACTTGAAGCCGGTGATGAACATAAGTTTGATCATATAAAACTACCCGGCGTCAACTAGATTTTTTTTTCTAGTGGGGAGGAGGGGTATACTCCCCCTCCCACGCTTAGTTGTGCGTAGCCTTGCCGTGTTCGGGGAAAAGGGAATCCTGGGGGGTTGAGCTGACGCTGAGTGTTTTGACCTTCAAGCGTCCCCCCCCACTTCCTCGGTCACTTCCTTGGCCAGCGCCAGGAAACCTCCTTCGGCATCGATGATGCCGAAGGACCGAAACACTTAGCTTGAGCGCTTGAAAAAAGACAAAGCGAGTCGAGTGATTGCTCCTACGAAAGATAAATAGACCATTAAAGCACTTGTATGTAGATAACCTACTTTACACTACACAACAAATAAAAATAGATACCCAAATAATTCAGTGGAACGTGCGAGGTCTCATTCGCAATCTGGATGATATCCAAGAACTACTTTCTAACACCAACCAAGGATATTGTGCGTGTAAGAAACACATTGAAAGCCATTCTTTAAAAAATTCCTTTGATAATATGTTGTCCTTCGTAAATACCGCGACGATGCCCTTGTGTCATCTGGTGGCGTTGCGATTATTGTAGATGAAACCATAGAGTGCCATGGACTACAGCTGCGGACGCCCTTGAAGCAGTGGCTGTTCGTGTTGTCCTTTTAAATAAACTCATCGCCATTTGTTTGTTTTACATACCCCCACATTACCATTTACACAAGCATGAATTTGTCTTTCATCGATGAATTGCCAGAACTTTACCTCGTTCTCGGTGATTTCAATGCCCACAGTAGCTTGTGGGGCAACTCTCGCACCAACGCTCGAGGTCATCTGATAGAGGATTTCCTTTTTTCCTCTGGTTCATGCCTACTAAATAAAATAGATCCTACGTCTTTTAGCCTCTCGAACAAAACATATCTATTGATCTTGGCATCATCTCTGCAACACTTTTACTTGATTTTAACTGGGAAGAGGTTAAAATTCTTGATGGGAGCGACCACTTCCCAATATTACTGAAAACACTGACACAAAACTAATCCCCACCACAAACCCCGCGGTGGAAGCTCACAATACAGCAGACTGTGGGAAGTTCCAGTCTCTTACTAGCATTTTTAAGCAGACATGTCTTCCTCGAGAATTGATGCAGCTGTACAGTATTTTACTACTCTTATTATTGATGCCACTTCACAAAGTATATCAGACACTAAAAATGCCACAGGCAAATGCTGAGCTCCTTGATGGAATAACGAGTGCCGTAAGGCCCGTAACAAACAAGGCAAAGCCTGGGGGCTGCTGCCCGATTCGCCAACTGCAGAACATTTAACTTTAAGCAGGTCAAATCGCAAGGCCGGAGAATCCGCCGGAAGTCTACAAGAGAGAGTTGGCGGGAATTCTTCTCGAGCATCAATTCCTACACGGATGAAGCAAAGGTATGGGAAAGAGTTGGTAGGATGAATGAACGCGAAACATCTTTGATTATTTTGGTTGAACACACATTGTGACTCCTTTGGAAGACCAGGCTAGCTTCCTGGGTGCACATTTTGAACATGTATCCAGTGTGTCGCACTACTATGATACCTTTGACAGGTACAAAAGTCGAATAGAATGACAGAAATTAGAACGTAAAAGTGTGGGATGTGAAGGATACAACCAGCCCTTTTGCTTTGTAGAGCTGCAAGCAGCACTTAACTGCTGCAACAAACCTGCCCCAGGTGCCGATTGCGTAATCTACGACACGTTGAAATACCTCCCCTCTGAAACACAGAAAACGCTCCTTTGCCTCTACAACGCCGTGTGGTTCTCTGGTGAGGTCCCTGTTGCTTGGAGAGAGGCCATTATCCCCGTTTTGAAACAGGGCAAGGATCCATCTGTTTCAAGTTACTGCCCTATTGCACTAACAAGTTGTCTGTGCAAATTGTTTGAAAAAAGGATCAACTGCCGCCTTTTGCATTTCCTGGAATCAAACAAGCTGCTCGACCCGTATCAGTGCGGGGTCCGAGAGGTGCGATCCATGACTGACCATCTTGTACGCATCGAATCCCACATCCGTGAAGCTTTTGCCCACAAACAATTTTTTCTTTTCATATTCCTTGACATGGAGAAGGCGTACGACACTACCAGGCGGTTTGAAATATCGAGGGACCTCTCAGACTTGGGTGTAGGAGACAGGATGTTCAGTATAACACAAAGTTACTTGTCAAACCGCACTTTCCGTGTTCGAGTGGGCAATGCCCTATCAAGACCATTTGTGCAGGAAACGGGAGTGCCCCAGGGAGGAGTGCTCAGTTACACACTGGTTATTGTCAAAATGAACTCCTTGCACTTGTGTATTCCACCCACTGTTTTCCACATTCCACCCACTTATGTCGATGATGTGCAAATAGGTTTTAAGTTTTGTAATCTTGCCATCTGTGAGCGGCAAGTACAGCTTGGCTTTAACAAGGTGGCGAAGTGGGCAGGTGAGAACGGCTTCAGTCTAAATGCACAAAAGAGCACTTGCGTTGTATTTTCCAAAAAATGAGGACTACACCCTGATCCCGACTCTACAGGGTGAATTCATTCATTCACAAAACTTTATATGTGTCCTGAAGCCCGGTCTTTTCAGACCGAGGCGGGCAGCGTCCACGTCGGTACAGTCAGGCCGAGCCTTGTGGCGTCATCGTGGACCTTCTAGACTGCCCGTAGTTGGTCTTGATAAGACGCGCTTCGCACCATCGTCTGCCAGTAAAGCCATTGTTCTTCGGGGTCGGTGAGAGTCGCGGGACAGCCCGCCAGTTGTGTCTGATTCCAATGATGCCATCGCACGCGTCACACTTGTCTTGAATTTCACTGTCAGGGAGAATTTTATGTACAAAATACGGAGTTGGGTAAGTTCCGGTTTGCAGTAAACGTAGCGTGACTGCCTGAGCCCTGTTCGATCTTGCGTGTGGCAGTGGGAATTGCCTACGCCCCGAGTAATAATATTTTGTGATGTCGTTGTAAGTGATTAAATTATCTTTATAGCCCCCGGAATTGTAGTGGACGTCGGATCGCGTCTGACCGGCACGGCAAGCGAGTCCTCGTGCCAGGTCATTCGTCACCTCATTGAGGTTGACCCGAGTTTCGTCCACTTGTCCCATATGAGCAGGAAACCATCGAATTTAAGTATCGATAGGATTGACTTTGTTCATAAGTTTAACCACAGTCCCAGCAACATAGCCCTTGTCGAAGCTCGTAATTGCTGCTTTGAAGTCGCTATAGACGTATGACCATTTTCTGTTCCTGATAGCTAAAGCAATCACGGCTTGTTCCGCAACCGTGAAATCCTTAGTGAGTATAGTCCGGGCGTCCCGTACCTCTCCCTGGCTGTCGACCACCACAGCCGTGTAGGCCTCTTGTCTTCCTGTAAAAACGGAACAAAAATTTTTGGGGTGATTCTGGATGTAAAACTAATCTTTGTACCTCATATGAAATACCTAAAAAACGAGTATGAAATCAATGAACATTGTTAAAGTGTTGTCACACACTACATATGGTATTGATGAGAAGTGCCTTCTCAATCTTTATAAAAGCCTCACTCGCACTCGCCTAGACTACGGGGCAGTAGTTTATCAGTCTGCGACCACAAGCACCTTAAAGGCGCTGGACCATGTGCATAATTTGGGCATTTGGATTTCTATGGGTGCTTTTTTCTATGGATGCTTTTCGCACTAGCCCCGTGGAAAGTCTGTACATCTAATCAAATAAGTGATCGCTCCACTTGCAGAGATGTTATGTGTTTTTTCTATATTATCTCAAGGTTGATGCAGAAAAAGAACACCCACCTCACTCCAAAATCAATTATTTGTCCAGTTCTGCTTTGTTTTACAGCTGTCCTTCATTGAGGCAGCCCTACTCACTCCGTATGAGGGGCCTCGCTGAGGAAACGGGTGTGCCACTTCGTGAACACTACCCGATGACTCCCGCTGCACACCCGTCACCATGGCAGTGGCAGCGTATAGATTGCAATGTTTGTTTCGTGGAGGTTACTAAGCATGCGCCTGTTGCACATATCCGTGTGCACTTCGAGTTACAGTACAAGTACTCCTACCCTCAATTTTTTGTCGATGCATCAAAATCTCTAACTGGTGTATCCTACGCAGCGGTCGGGCCATCTTTTTCGTGTTCCGGTGTTCTACATCCCAACACAAGCATTTTCACAGCAGAAGCTTATGTGATATATGTGATGGGTAAATGCATAAAACAATTAAAACTACAAAATACACCAGATTTTTCAAGCATGGTAAGAGCTTTGCAAACTGTGAAAAAACATACCAATCCGATCCTTATTTCTCTCTACTCAATCCTATGCATGATTCATGCACTAAAACAGCACGTAGTTGTTTTCTGAGTGCCAGGGCACCGTGAGATTGAAGGGAACGTGTTGGGCGAACCAGCTAGCTGCATCCGCCCACGAAAACGCTGTTGTTACACCCACAGCTGTCCTTGTGTTAGATCTTAAGCCCTTTTTAAAATGGAAGCTCAGAGCTTCTTGGCAGTGCTTATAGGATAAAGGAAAGCAAAATAAGCTACATATTATAAATGGCATCTTGATAATTGGTTGTCAATATCTAAGTCAGGTCGTACAGAAATAACACTTTGCAGACAGAATAGGACACACACGTAGTACACCAATACCTGTTGTCCGGTGGCAATCCACCTTTGTGTGATGTGTTGAGCCTCTCTCTCACTGTTCTTCATGTCCTATTGCATTACGTGGAAGTAGAGGCTCTAAGAAAAAAGTATTTTCCATTAATACACCGCTAGCAGTTAAGGCTTCACCCTGCAATATTCATAGGCAGACAACCAATTTTGGCATATCGATGACTGTTCATATTTCGTAAAAATATTAATATCTTTAATATTATTTTCCCAGGTATCCTGTAGCGCTGCCTCATAGCTCAGGTTGCGACTGTGGTAGACCTATTAAAGAAAGCACCGGCCTCCCTGGCCTTTGGGCTTCAAAGACTTCGAGGATGCATTGTGCTATTTGCCATGAAGATAATCTTGCTCTATCGTCATCCATATCACACCCATAGATCACATTACGTGTCACTGACATAATTTTATCTTATATACACATATTGTACGCCTTCATATAGCGCATGATTTCATGTCTCTTTAGAGCCATTATACATTTACCATCAGAATCGTGCCATAATGCTCAGTAGACAATGCTGACATTACATCACCAGAAATAGTGCTCTTTGGCCACCCATAGCCCTTGCGCCACAAAACCCTACTAATCATCAACTTGATTTTAACTTTGGCAATGCTAATGGTGGAACTGCTTCACCAATGGTACGGGAATACCACACTGTGACACATGTAATTTTCTGAAACATCATAGTTTTAGGGGTTTGAAAACTAGGTTTGAAATTCTGTGCAAAGTGGCAGAACCCTGCTAGTAATATTGATGGCATTTTGATACCACAAAGGGGAAAAGGGCTGAATTTGAATGAAAATACCAACCTTTGCAAGCTTTCGCACATAAAAGCATGCCCTAATAACCCATTGATATGTCTTATCAACATAGGCTATTTTTTTCTATTAACTCAGCATATTTCACTTGTTTGAACAAGGGGTGCTTGGCGCAATGCTAGCATCTGGCTTGTGAAATTTTTTTAGTCTAGATCAAAGGATGCACGCATGCTCATACCCGTGTTTTGGTGTAATGTGTAAGGATGTTCCTATAAATACTGCTAGATAAGGCACCTGGTCACAATATGCTGTGGACCTGAAACGTAAAAGAATGTGGCATCTGTTTGCTGATGTTAATGAGCACTTGTGGGGTTGGGCGAAATTGTGAAATAGAGCCCTGTCATTAAACACATATGTGTCGGTTTTTTTCCCCCTTCGTTAAAAAGCCAAGGGCATCTCAACTGAATCAGAGAAAGACACCCTTTCTTGCTACTGACAACATGGTTGGGCCTGCACCTACAATTGTTTTTTCCAGTGTGTTCCTGTCCCCTAAATGCCTCAAATCTACAAATCTATATTGCAGCTAATGTCTACATGGTGCACTATCGTCAGTATTCAAAAGTAACGGTTCTATTTGGCTCTTATAGATTGGAACATGGCATTTTGGTTTGAATTAGCCCATAAAAGATGTCTTAACATGATTAAAATGTGTGGTATAGCAATGTTTTGCGATAAAATTATCATCATCCTTGCGCTTTTGTCGGTGTTGTACTTCGTCGCATGGGCGTAATAGCGATGACCAAACTTAAGCGAGTAGTCCTTCCTGGCAAAAGAAACGCTATTCTGGACTGTCGGCAATGTTTTTTTGTTCTTGGCCTTCTACTGTGGCTCTCACCCGCGGTGGGGGATTGGCCAAGAATTGAGTGGTCTTATAAAAAATCTGAAATCTATTGGAGGCTTTAAAAAATGCTTCCGCTCTTCATCTGAGCTCGTTTTATATCGTGGTGTTTTGGATCACTTCTTCTTCAAGGAATAGATCGGTGCCCGATATCTTCATTTTCTATGTGTTTTATTTCAAATATACTGTCTTGGAGCAAAACAGACATGATAGTATTAGTACTAAACTTCAAAAACAAGAAAAAAAAAACACTGGCAGAAAAAAAAGAAAAGTCGTCCTGTTGACCATAATATTTGAGTTTTGCACTACAATATTGTGTATTCAGTAAGTGCCAACTTGCTCTAGAAAAACTAATTGTGTAATGCAAACACAATAGCAAACCAACTAGTACACATATAAAGGATTGGATAAAACCATGTTGGTTGTTTTGATGTTGACAGAGCGCTGGTTTAATGAATGTGGTTCACTTTGAAATAAATGCAGCATTGGGTTCATTTTTGATCAGAAACTGCCTTTTTGAGTTCACGTTACAGTTGAGAATTGCCCCAATTTGATTTGAAATGTTTTAGAAGCTAAAGATGCTTAGGTGTGCTTTAAACTTCCATGAAATTTAACTTAGTTTATGTCTCTATTTGGTTCTCTTTGGCCAAAAAAGAAAGAAAAGCTACCTATGAATGTTTTAGTGCAAAAAAATGTGATTGCACACAACGGAAATATACCAAGGATAACTGCACCAACACTGTTCACATATTCCGTCAGAAGAAAGTGGGAGATGCTGCTGCTGTACTTTCAATATGGGAAAAAAAAGCATTCATTTCTAAGAAATATGACGTATGAATGTGGGTTTGTGAGAAGGTGAAAAAGTACTGGTGAAAACAAGGAAATGTGTACTTGAATATTGTGAGGAAGCAAGCTGCTTCCATCACGTATGGTAATCGAGTGTTATACTACAGAGCGTGGAACTGCTTTGGGAGAAGAACCTTATGCATATTGGGCGAGGAGTCACGTTAGCTGCTATGTCACACCAGGCATCGCACCATGTGAATTGTGTAGTGAGGATGATTGTGACCTCGCCCACCCATTACAAAGGGCTGTCATATTTTGTCATCATCAGCTACAGTGAAAACAAAATGTGCAGCTACCTAGGTGTGCATATTGCCCTGCGGATGCGTAGTTGGCATGGCTCACCTTGGCTCGAGAGGGTCGATTTTTGGGACTTCTATAGATGAAAGTACACACATACATATCAAGGAACTACACTTGCAATAGGTGCATTAAGAGAGTTTACAATGGCCAACACAATGAGCATAAGTGTGGGTTCTATTCCCACCCGCGGTGGCCACATTTACGTTAAATGCAAGAAAATTCCAGGTGCTTAAATTTAGGTACACCTTAAAGAGCACTTGAAACACCGCCGATATGTCTTTAAAAGTTTGAACTAACGCATGCATTGAGTTCAGAATGCCGTGATGATACAATGACAAACAAGTCAGCGCTTCAAGTCACAGGCTCCCCACAAATTCCAAGAAACAATTCCTTCTCTTCTTTGGGCTATTCGGCAGTGGTAATAATTTCACGAGGTGGCCCCTCGGTGTTCATTGCGATGTCGCCGTTCTCTTCCGACTGTCATCAAGCATACCTATTTGTCCACTTGCAGGTACGTGCGAGGAGCTCTTGTATCAGCAATCTTGTACAACTTGAAAAATTCTGACTGCTGCATGTTCGTTGAAAGCTTGTGCACTACTGTAACATCGCTACTAAATTTTTACCTCTAGGTAGTTTAGGGGCCTTTTGAAGAATACCAGGTGGTCAGAATTTATACGGAAACCCCAGCAATTATTATTAATATCACATGCACAGGTGTTTCTTCTCTCACAGCATGGATGAGGTGTCCGCCAAAAAGTGAAGTATGGAAAGCAAATAAGAAGCTGATTCAAATGGTTCCTGACACCACTGTTGCATTTCGCTCTTGGTGGCAAAGCTTAAGTGTGCTCCCATGGGTTTTCAGTGGTAGTTCAGTGAGTGGAGCATTTTTGACTACAGTGTCACAGCACAATATGCATGACCATTAACTACTCTTTGACTTGTCTTATTGCTAGGCAATTTCAGCACTTGTTCAGGGTTTTCCTGCACGCTGCTTTGTAGGTGCAGATCTCGTTTACAGATGCCACAGCCAGGGCTAGTTGATTCGTGGCATGCACATTTAATATTCTACGCTTTTAAAAAACGTTAACTCTTGCTGGTGGTGGATTGTAAGATGAAGTTTCGTACCAATATGGTCGTTAGGGCACTTGTAAAGGGTTGTAACGTATGGCCACCAGTGTGTTCCAATCAAGTACTATCTCAATAGCAGCTGTTGCAGTCAAACAGACCTCTCCGCCCTCTTTTTTTTTTTTTTTTTTTTGCTGCCTGTCTATCCCTCAGGAAGACTCGACTAAGTGCATGGGCAGTCACTGTGACGTTGCAGATTTCAAAGTATTTCCTCGCAATTGGGTCATTGTGGCACTGTAAGTAACGACGTCCATCATAAAGCTGTTTTCCAAAATAGTAGTCATACCTTTAAGTTTTTATGAGCCTGCTGTAGTACAATTCATATGAGTCTTTAGTATTATGGAGTCTGTTCAAAATGTTGTAAACCTATGTTGCCCAATAGTGTGAATGAATGAGCTGGCGACTTAAGGCAAGCACCTACCCAAATCTGATTTTTTCGGGTGAATATATATAAATATATATATATATATACACACACATGCACACACACACATTTTGATGAAGGCCAGACTCTAGGCTGAAACGTTTAAATAAACCACGTTGTGACCGCTCACGGAGGATCTACTTGACTATATATATATATATATATATATATATATATATATATATATATATATATATATATATATATATATATATACAAGGATGCATGTTTTATTTTAGGACATTAGTATGGCATTCCTGAATAATAAAGAGTGTGAAAAATACTCAATAAACGTACTTTAATAGAGGCTGCATGAATTTGCTGCAGTGAGGGAAAAGTTACTTAGTAATTATTTGAAAAACTGTCTATTGCTAAACATATATTGAGAACATATTGATTTATATAACAAGGCACTGCCTGTTTCAGGACTGATCCCCCACAGTGGGTTGTGCCAGTACATATGAATTACATATGAAGTCAGCGCATTTGCGGTGAACATTCGCTAATAACTGAATAGTTAAGACAGGTGTCGCTGGGTACAGGGAAACAAAAAATTTCACTAGATGTTTTCCGATTTTACTAGGTGACCGCGAACGATGAAGCTATCGCAATGCTGGCTTGTTGACTAATGCAGGCATGGGTGAGCATACGCTTCTTTTTTCCTTTTCACTTTTATTGCTTTACTAAAAGACATAGGTCGGCACTTTGAGAGACTACTCACTCATACTCACTCACTACAATTTTCTCAGCCTTCGCGCTCACTCGCATTCATACTCACGTCTGCACACACTCAAAGGTCCTCACTCACATTCATACTCGTGAGTACTCACACTCATGAGTACTCACTCACGTTCATACTCACAACTATATTCACACTCGTCGGCCCTCACTCACTTCATACTCAAGACAACTCACACTCATGTCTATTCACTCACGTTCATACTCACGCCAACTCACACTCATAGGCCCTCACTCTACTTTTATACTCATGACTACTCACACTTGTAGGCACTCACTCACTTCACACTCACAACCACTTACACTGACAAACACTCACTCATGTTTATACTCACGCCAGCTCACACTTATAGGCCCTCACTCACATTCATACTCACGACAACTCACATTCATGTGTACCCACTCACGTTCATACTCACGACTACTCACTCTCATAGGCACTCACTCACTTTACACTCACGACCACTTACACCAATCAGCACTTACTCACTTCATACTCAGGACTACTTACACTGACAGGCACTCACTCACATTTATACTCACACCAGCTCACACTCATAGACCCTCACTCACATTCATACTCACGACTACTCCACAGGCACGCATTCATGTTCATACTTATGCCTATACACAGTCATGAGTCCTAAGCATGCACTCACAATCACACTCATGCCTATTCCCACACATAAGAACTCACTCAAGTTCATGCTCATGCCTTCCCACACTCATATGCACTCACTTTCATCAACTTGGTCCTGTGCTTGCTGCTGCTACTTGACACCCGCAAACTTCATAATGTGATCTACCCACCTAACTTTGCCTCCCTTTAATCCGCGTGTGTTCTCTTGAAATCTGCAAAATTAATCTGCGGAATTTACAACAACCTCGGAGGGGAAAAGCGCTTTGAGATAGGTAACAGCGCACCTGAAGTTGCAAAATAATATGTCTACTTTCAACGGGTAGTAACTGCGGAGCCGAACCACGAGATTGAAGTAACAGGAAGAAAATGACTGGGGTGGAGCATATTTGGTAAGCATTCTTAAATCATCAATGATAGATTGTCATTATCCCTCAAGAAAAAGGTATAAAACAGCTACATCTTACCTGTACTTGTAATCCTACAAAGCAGAAACCAGGAGGATACATAGAGGGTTCATCTTAAGTTGAGAAGGAGGCAGCGAGAAATGGTAAGGAAAATGGTAGGTGTAACTCATAGGAACAAGAAGATGGCAGGGTTTTATCAAGGAACGAACGAGTGTTCAGGACATTATAGCCGAAATCAAGCAGAAACGTCGTTGGGAAGAGTACGTAAAGTAAAGGCAAGATAATCGCTGGTCTTAGGAATCACAGATATCTACCCATACTCATGAATATTATCTAACAGTCATACTCACGCCTTCTATACTTAATGACTGCTGACTCACGTTCACATCACAACTACTCACACTCATGTGTACTCATTCACGTTCATACGCACGCCTACTTGATCACCCTCATGTGGGCTTACTCACGTTTATACTCACGACTACTCCATACTCTGTGTGCTCACTCACGTCCACTCACATTTACGAGTTCTCACTAACGTTAATATTAACTACTACTTACAAACGATGTACTCACTAATGTTCACACTCACTTCAACTAACACTCGGAGTACTCACTGATCACTTCCATACTCACTCCTACTCACACTCGGAGTACTCACTCACGTTCATACTCGCTTCTACTCACCCTCGGAGTACTCACTTACGTTCATACTCACTCATAGTCACACTCATGAAAACTCACTCACATCCACCTCGTTCAAATGAATATGAGTGAGTGTGAGTGAATTTACTCATGAATGAGTATGCCGAGCTATGCTAAAAGGACTGCCAGCTTGAAAAATTGTCCCTTGAGTCGTTCTGAATGCGCGGCAACACAGGAAAAGGTCCTGGTGGCATAGCGGCATTTAAAACGTCAACAAAAATGTTTTTTAAGCGTGGATTTATTGGTCTCAGCTGCTTTAGGTTGTATACTGATGGAAAATTCTCTCTCTCTCTCTCTCTTTATATATATATATATATATATATATATATATATTGGTTGCACAATTGGGTTGTATCGGTGTAACTAATCTTCAAGGGAGGCATAACCAATAACGAAATTAGCTACCAGACTTCATTTGCAGGATTAACTGTTTGAAAATTGAAAATATGAGATACACTGTGTTCCCCTTCACACTGATGCAGTTTGTTGAAGCTAAGAGCACCCTCTTTCTGTGTATGGCTTTAAAGGGACCTCTGTAACGGTTTTCACGATTTTCTATAAACAGATTGGGTTAGTAGACCAAGTCTTAAAAGTCATTTATAGACTATTTTAAGCTCTCTGTGTAAACTGTACAATTTATTACAACACTTTAGAGCTGTGAATAGTTGCAGTTCACTGTGTCTAGGCCAAACGCGCTTTCAACTGCTTGTTTACAGTACATCCTCTGGACGTCACCCAGATTGCTGATCTGGTCGGCTGTGGAATGGGCGTAAGTAAGATTGGCTGGTAGGATGGTGGTTGCCTGCTATATGTTTATGGTGCGAGCTGAGGATTTGTATTTTTTGTACCACACAATAAAGAATGGTAAGATGGTGGCACCTGTCAGTGCAGATACCAACCACTTCGCAATATTCATCTCTGTTTCGAGACGGCCGGTGTGCTGCTGGGCGTAGTGGGTGATGACCTCCAAAATTGCATACTGGGCGAAGCCGTTTCATGCAGTATTATTGTATGAAGCTCTATGATGAAGCCCAAATCATCGAGTGCACTCATGGGAGTGCTACGATAACCTGCACCAATAAAAAAAGCATTAACACCAATTGAGAAATCTAATTGTCCTCAATTGGCTCCAGTTGGTGTGTCCCATTATCCAATAGGTTTCAATATGATAGTCTGGAGTGTTCAATTGGCATTCTAGCCCATTGGCCCTTCTCCAATTGGTCCTCCAATGCAGTAAGAAAAGGCTACTTGGACCGATTGGCCATACCAGTTGGCCCCCAATAGAATGGGCTAAAACCAATGGCGACTTTGAAATTCACTGGGAAATTAAGCCTAATTGGAATTCATAGTTCTAAGACAATTGATATAAATTTTTCATTTTGCCACCCTATTAGAATTTTTTATAATATAAATGCTTGTGCGATTCCAAGTCAATCTATATTAGAAGATTCTTATTCTGATTGGAATGTTTGGATATGATTATACATGCCCATGTGATATTAGGCCTTCAATTTCATATTTTTATATATGAATAATTGGAGATATTATTAGGTCAAATTGGTGCTTTATATGGACAGTTTTGTGTAGGAGTAATTACGTATACTGAATCGATATCAATTAAATTAAATATCCAGTCATGAGAAATGCACCAGGGTTTAGGTTGATCAAATGCATGATTAATTGTGAGCTTCATAGTAAAACTTATAAATGGGAATGGGCTAAGGACCCACCAATTGATTCCAATTGGCCTTTACTGATTACCAATTGGTTTCAATTGGACATCAAAAAAATGAATAAAGCTGTAAAACAAGAAAATAGGTAATAGAATTGTGTTTGCAATCACAACGTTACTCCTGAAATAATATTTCTTTACGTTTTAATGTGATATACAAGGTGTGTCATTTATTTCATCTGTTCACTTTACAGTCGGCCACACAAATTACTCCATTGTTCTTTGGGCCCGGCACAACTCACTAGGCTGAAATTACTGACATGTTATTTGAGGGAGGTTATGTTAGAGACGACCATAACATATGTGGAGAAATTTTTCATTTCACGGTAGCCTTCACTAATGCCAAGTTAATGCAATCTAACAACATGGTTTCTCAATTTTCGTGCATCTCTAGTGAGATTAACAGATCAGACCCTTAATTCAGAGCGACACGGTATTTGCAATGGGCGAGATTGGTGTGACCAATCAACCCAATTGGTCAAACCATTTGGATTAGGTTTTTATGCTACCAATTGTTTTAGTTGGTTAGGCCCATCAACACATATAATAAATCTAATAGGAATTGAACGTTGTTATAATGGGTAGACTGGGATCACCTATCTGCTTGGTCAATCCATTTGGATATTGATTGTGTTACACACAGTAGGTCGTGGTGTTACCAATTGGTTATGTTCGTCAGACCCATTAAAACCTAACAGGATGACCCATTGAAACTATTGGAATTTTCTAATTGGTGTACCAAAGCACAATTAGAAACTTCTAATTGGTTCTAATTGGCAATGTCCAATCGGTTTGAATGGGATATCCAATTAGAAATTTCCAATTGGTCAGTCGAATTTTTTTTTTTACTGGGGCGTATCTGATAAGTTGAAATGGAGGGTGTGATATGATTATCCGTAGTGGACTTGGTACATGGTGCGTCGCTAAATTTGTGTTTTGATGATGATCGAGCCTAATCACACAGAAAAACCGTTTCAGTGTTTTCCTTGAACGCTTGAGAGATAGACGTACGCTACTCTGAAATTGTCATGGAAGTAACTTTGACATCGCTGCACCTCGAAACAGCACATGTGGTTGATGAGTGGCGACGCTCCTCAGCATCACACACATGTCAACTGACGTGAAGAAGCACAGGAAGTGTAATGGCGGATAGCCTAGCAGACGACGTCGTCACTATGGTTACGGTGTATAAAGCGAATGCAGTGACAACAAAGAAAACTTAATAGCCAGTCAGTAACCAGACAAGACATATATTGTAAATAATTTTCTTTTTCAAAAACTAAAGACATTCTTTTGAGCTAGTTTTTACTTACAAGTAGCGCCGCGGGGCTACACGCGGTAAAAAAAAAAAACATTAAAACAAAGCAAGAGCGTGCTCTCGTGCGGTGCTTGCATGGCGATGCGCGGTGTTCCTTGTGAGCGGCGAGGCTCGCGGCCTGCTCGTTTGTAGGTGTCTTTTCAGTGATGATCAATGGGTGCGGGGATGTCTTGATTTCCGTGTGTCGCAGGTAACGTGCCTGAAAACTTATGTTCAGGATGGAAGAGGAATTTCAAGAAATAGACTCTAAAAACTCTTGGAATTCAGTCTATCAGGTAAGTAAGTTTACCGCCGAACAAGTCACCCGCTGTCGTAGTTCGTTATTGCCGCTGTTGTAATGTAGCGCAGTTTCTCCTTTGCGGAAGGACACCATCCTCTTTCTAAGCAACAGTTTCGGGGAGCTGTTTCACAAATTGGGAGTTCTTTTTCTCTGGTGTTGGATCGAATTTTGGAAAGTCGTTAGGCCTACAGATTAACAATGTAACGTCTGTAACCCACGCACGTCCGAAACAAAGTCCTCTGGTATCGTTACAGTGCTAGCTTACGTGCCTTGCTTGTAAACTTTCTTTTTCTGTATGAAACTGTAACGCCACGATTTTCGGGCAGTAAGAAAAAAAATGTTGCCCTTGCTGGAGAAAATTGGAAACCATCAGTCTGTGCGCAGCTGTCTCGGGATTGGGCAGTCACGACGTGTTTCTGATTGCGTCGCTTTTCAGGTTGCAGTTCGATGTTTTTAGAATTTTCAGGAGCCTTTCGGGTCTTCTAAAATGACGCCTGTGCCGCATATTTCCTCTGATGTTGCAGAAGATCAGACACAAGTCCAACAGCTATGACTACACGTGCAAAGACGCACGACGTATGGATAACAAGAGCTTAAATCGCTACCGAGATGTAAATCCATGTGAGTAAGATGTGCGACTATATTATATTGGTGTTTGAGACTGAACTTTCGTCTGACCGCTGTGAATTCCCGTAGCTTGTTAATATTAACATTAGTTTCTGCTCTATTAATTTGTTTTAAAGAAAATGGTGCTGCATGGGGACGAACGAAGCAGGGGACTGAGATGGAGGGAGAGATGACTGACTTGTCTTGGCAAGCATTATGATGACATTATCTTGTAGTACGTATTTTGTGCACTCCGATATTTACATTCGAATACTGTATTGATCTGCGGTAGATATGATGTGCATGTTTGGGAAAGACCCACAAGTAAGCTACTTCGCTTTTTTTTTAATATTATCTGCGCGCGCAGTTTGAAAACTACATGGTATCGCTTAGATGATACACCCAATGTGCTTCGGGGAAGGAGCCTTTCATGAACAAAAAAATGACTTGGTGCTGACGGACCCTCCGGTATAGTTGGGTGACATTGCTTAAAACAAAGTGCCTAGTGGCGTTTGGTTTTAATATCCAAAATTTATGTGAATGGAATAACTACGAAAGGGGGATGAAATGTGGAAGGAAAACGATAAATGTAAGAGGCTGAATGGAACTGTGTGATGAACTATGCAGTGACAGTTACATTGTGATTTGCGGGTTCATCAGGTTAGTCATTCTGTCTAGACATATGATTGCCAGAATCCTTATATGGCGGGATGGTACATTAATAAAAAAAAAAATAAAAGCCAAAAAGTATAAGATGTTTCAACTTCTACATGGAAGCTTAGATACCTTATACTTTTGCCTATTTGGTCAGTGTAATGTTCTTTTGGTATTAGCTGCACTCTGATTGGTCATAAGCAAGGGTTTCCTTATAAATGGTGATAAGGGATTGTTCATTACTGAGCAGCTGCACTAGTTGAAATTTACCATTAGGTAACTGCAGTCTAAAAAATACAGCCGTCAGCATTTTTAATATGAATGCTCCACCGCATGTCCTCCGGTAGTTTGATTGATGCTGACACCATGCACGTTTGGGTTCTGTTGCCAAGATAAGGGATTGTTCATGACTGAGCAGCTGCACTAGTTGAAATTTACCATTAGGTAACTGCAGTCTAAAAGATACAGCCGTCAGAATTTTTAATACCAATGCTCCACCGCATGCCATCCGGCAGTTTGATTGACGCTGACACCACGCACGTTTGGGTTCTGTTGCCAAGATAAGGGATTGTTCATGACTGAGCAGCTGCACTAGTTGAAATTTACCATTAGGTAACTGCAGTCTAAAAGATACAGCCGTCAGAATTTTTAATACGAATGCTTCACCGCATGTCCTCCGGTAGTTTGATTGACTGACACCACGCACGTTTGGGTTCTGTTGCCAAGATGCTAACCAAAGAGGCCGACATACTATGCAAGCCTACTGAGGTATTATCTCGGCAAAAGCACCCTCGGCAAAAGCTTTGCGGCTGGCACCAATCAAACTAGCCCTGGCCACGCATCGAAGTGTTCGTGTTGAAGGTGCCGACTGCTGTACATTGGCACATAAAAGGTTTTTTTTTTTTTTAATTGCAAATGGCACTGCCATTTTTTTTTTTTTTGAGCCGCAAGTTTGGTTCTCTTAGTAGCTTTGTGTTACAGATAGGTGGATCACAATATAGTAGTGTTTTCACATCATATTTTCACTCTGTTGTAGTGCAGGATTTGGAAATTTATACTTGCAGTTACTAACGGATTTAGGGGAACACACTAGAAGATATGAATTCAGTGTATAAAATATTTTTCTCCTATTATACTTATTTTTTTCTGCACTATCATAGCCATGTTTAATTTTCAGTGCATTGGGAAATGTCCGATACGTGTTATAGAAACTGGGATCTATATCATGGGGCCATTTTATTGGGCTATGCAGCAGTGTCTTATTTTAATCATCTTTGAACATTGTTGTGGAAGTTTACTTTGGGAATGATAGAAAGTACATGCATGACAAGGCTAGTGGTCATAAATGATCTACAGCACTTTTGACATCCTATAGACAGAATTCTGCATGTTCAAAGCAGTACAGCGCTTGCGTACATGTCGCTGTGCCAGGATGGCTACTGATATCACAATTGAAGCCAGGCTGTTTCATAACAGCGAATATTGGGACCGTGTTTTTATTTTCAATTTCTTGTGTTTGTACCTTGGGCTGCAGTTTCGCCATTTCAGGTGCTATTTCTTTTTGTGCTTTGCTAGTAGTTGTAGTGATGCTGGTTTTGTGTTTTCTGTGTGATTAGCTGGCTGTCAACAATGGGGGATAAGAGATGACGTCGTTTTCAATAGGGAGCTTGCACGAACGGCGGTGACGCTATGCACTCTGGGTAGGCAGCTATTTTTTGTTTTTGTCTGAGCCGGCTGGGGAGTGCAGGAGCGCAGTCATTTTAACGTGCGTTGGCATAGCCTGTAGGCATAATTGAGTGCAAGCGCAACGCAAACTTAACTCCAAGGAGTGTTGTGCACTATGTCAGCCTCTCTAAAAGACTACACAGCAACGCTGTGCCAGGAAGACCTCGAGCAGTATGAAGAAGAGACGAGAATTTACTGAGTGGACTCATTGACTCTTCGTGCCAGTGAGCGACGTGGACTTGTGGCCGTGCGTCGATAGCTGCGATGTTAACGAAAGTCTTGTTTCGATGATGAGTTTGATTACCCGGGAGCTGTTGAAGTCAAGAAATGCCCTCGAGGGCCACACTTTGTGACTAGCGGCTGAGTGTGGAAGCCGGGGGTGAAGAAAGTCGCCACGGGCACCGTGATCGTCGTCACCCAAGTAAGGCGTGTTAAATTGAGGAGCGCTCTTCTGGTGCACGTACGCCATACTCTACATAGAATAACAGCGCAGTGAGATGGGAGCAGGCTTCGCTGTTCCCGGCTGTGCAGTGTGTGGCAGGGCCTCACGATTACTCTTGCCCATGAACAAGACGTCGATGGGTGCTTGTTAACGCACTGGGAGTGGTTATCTTGGACAGCAACAAAAATTAGCATCTATGGCAAAATCAAATAATTTAACATGTCGGCGACGTTTTCACTTACGGCTCTCCTATCTAGCCACTCGTCACAAAGTTGTGGCCCTAGAGGTCCTTTCTCGACTTTGACTACTCCCGGGTGATGAAAATTGTCCCCAGAACGAGAAATTAGTGGCTATCGGGGCTTTCGATGGGCAAGCACAAGTCCACGTTGCTTACACAGTCGCACGCACGAAGCATGAATGGGTCCACACTGCGAATTTTCGTCTCTTCTTCGTACCACTCTAGGTCTTTCTGGCACAGTGTTACGGTGTAGCCTTCCAGTGAGGCTGGCATTGTGCACGACACTCCTTGTAGGTAAATTTCCGTCACGCTCACAAACAGGACTGCGCTTCTGCACTCCCCGGCCACCTCTGACAAAAAATGGCTGCCTACCAAGAGTGCATAGTGTTGCTGCTGTTCATGCAAGTTTCCTATATATTACACTTTGGATAGAGAATATCATTTGTGTTAATTGTCAAGGAAAAAGGATGTGGAAGAGGTTGAAAGGGCCAAATGAGTTTGTAAATGTGCTACTTTTGTGTGCTAATTGAGAGCTATTTGACTGGAAGCTGTTGTCGTGGAAAGTGGAAAAAAAACTAATTGCAACTCTTGATTTTACTCGGTATGGTGTGGGCAGCAGATTATCGCAAGTGATGGTGGTGGGAGGCAGCTGAGAGTGAGTGTGGCTTGAGCAGCGAAATTGATTTGAGAAATTCATTCAGTCACAACCACAGAAAATGGCTGCAACATTAGTAGTTGGTCCTAGTGAATGCAGATGTTTTTTTTTTTTTTTTTTCATTTAGCATTATCATGGATGTACATATCAGTGTATATTGCTACCACCTAGCTCTTTTGCCCTATAGAGGTACCCTTGTAGGCACAATTCATGTTAAGAAGCTGTATTCTGTTGGGTATATGCTTTCTGATTGGTGGATCAAAGGGTGTTATAATTTTGTTTGTTTCATATTTGGAAAATTGTCTTCATGCCATGTACCAGTTTGGTAGCTGCCTGATTAGGCAAAGTAAAACAAGCATTTTGTTCCTGTATCTTTATCAGTACAGGTTTACTGCAGAGGGTCAGTATATTATACAGACCGATTCCCTATAACTTCTTAGCACAAATATAAATGACATTTAAAGTGCAACATCATGCTTGCTTTTTCAATATGAGGTATGATGATTTCTTATGCATTGTGTCTAATTGCATATTCTAATTGGGTGTCAGTTTTTTTGAAAGAGCTTATGTGCGTACTGATAATTTACTCATGACATATAATGCCGTTGAGATAAAAAAAAGGAACAGGTATTGATGAAAGATAAGTATATTGACATTAAAAAAGTGCTATAAAATTTGGAGGAAGTCGTACAACCCACATTCAGAGGTACAGTGGACTTTGCATTAACATAGCTTTCTTGGACGGACATGCTAGTAGAACAATGGTATCAACTTCGGTTGCCTGCCCATAGACACAGCTTTTACAGCTTTATGAAACTCATATTTTTTCTGAAAATATTATTTTTTTTGTGAACTCCAGCTAGGTGGAACCTCAGTCAAAACTACCATGCATTGGTTTATGTAACGGGAAAAACCCAATAAACGTAGTTGGTGAAATAGTGGTGCCATAAACAATTCAAGGTATACATTCATTAGGTGGTTGTAGTAAGATTAAATCCAAATTGAAAAAAAAAGTCCACGGTGCAACGGTACATCCATCATGGGACTTAGCTGGGCAAGTAATGATTTCTCAGGGGCAAGAAAATAAGATTTTGTTGTCATGCTGATGCTACTGCTTTGTTTACTTTGCCAAGAAGAATAACCCTTCCTGTTATCCATTATAAAGAGGTATTTGATTATCCTAAAGCTTTTGGGAATAACTACAGTGCTAATAATGAAAATCTAGTATTACTTTTCCAGTGCATGTTACATTTTTATGATGAAATGCAAGATAACCAGTTGAAAGTCTGGAGAGCTATTTTGAATGAGCTATAACAAGAATTGAAAATTATTTCTTTTGTGAACGCAACTTTGTGGGAAAACAAATGCAGGGCTAGAAGCAGCATGCAGCAGTGCTTTTTTTTTTTTCACTGCACTAATATCGATACACACTTCTGCTTTTAGAATTTTGGCAATTTTAAATTTTTTGCTTGAATGCACCTTTAGATAAAGAGAGCTCATTTGTTCGAGCTCCGTGTAGGTGTAATTTTTAGTTTGTCTGCTGCTATCTTGCATGTTTTGTTGCTTTTCTCTGGTTGTAAGAAATGCCCCTGGCACTTACATATAATTGTACTGTTCCATCGGTGTCTGGGGAACACTTGATATGTCGGATCAACCTAGGACATGTAATTGCAGTTTCTCATTTTCTGCTGTCTCTCATCGACGCACTTACAAGACAGTGGTATCAGTGGCATACCAATTCCCTCGCGAGGGGGGGGGGGGGGGCAAACAACCTACCTCACTCGTCCGGATATATATATATATATGTGTGTGTGTGTGTGTGTGTGTGTGTGCGCGCAAGCGTGTGTGTGTGTGTGTGTGTGTGTGTGTGTGTGTGTGTGCAAGCGTGTGTGTGTGCGCGTTAAAAAACCCAGGTGGTCGCAATTTCCGGAGCCTACCGCTACGGCGTCTCTCATGAACATATGGTAATTTTGGGACGTTAAACCTCACATATCAATCGATCAACTCATGACCATTCAGTCAGCATGGGCGTAAACTAACCACTTCACCACACCGCGCTGTGTAGCTGGGAGTGATTAATGAAACAGGCTTGTGTAGGCACCGATGAGTCGTTTTCACACGGCGCAAACATTCCTGCAGTTACCCCAAAGAATGGGTGCTTTACGCCACAAGGAGAAAAGTGCCCATTCTTGCGGTGCCGTGTGAAATCTTTTGCATACATTTTGTCTTTTGGAAAGTGGTAACTACGCAGTTACTCCGGAAAACCTTTTAGTGTGAATGTGCACATGTACATCTCTGTGAGCTCATCCGGGCTAAGAGAGAGAGAACTAAGCAGTGCTGCACGTGTGTGCTTCTTTTCTGTCAAAGTTGTATTTTGAGCTGTAAAAGACAAATCAAGTTCAATAAAAACTAACTAGCCCGACTCCTACATAGGCCTTCATTGTGCAAAAAACCACCGTCTTTCACCTTCTCCCTGATCCTGTGGTTAGAACTTCGGGGTAAGCTTAGAAGCTGAGCCCACTGTACTCAAGCCCACTGCTTTATTCTTCTCCACTTTGCAAACTGCCGCCATTGCTTCTACTTACCGTAAGCAAGGCTGATCAGATTTATCAGAGACTAAAGCGCAAACCTTTTTGTGGCGCTTCTAGTACGGAAGAACTAAAGCATTTAAAAAGATTCGTCACAATCATCAACTCGCAGCGGCTTTGATAAAGCAGCGATGACGCTATTCTTTTTTGGTGAAAGAAAACGATTTTCCTGAATCAGCAAATGCTCCGACCGGTCCATAAAACGATTACTTGTTCCCATCCATAACAAAGCAAGTACAAAACGCTTTCGCGCCTTGTACTGTAGCCCGCTTTGAAATTGCAGTACAAGGCGCAAAAGAGTCGTATAGGCGGCCCGCACCACAAGGAACATTTAAGGACTATCGTCACAGCGAAAATCGGGAAAAATTTTACTTTATAAAACATTCCCTGGTAACATTTTCATTTCCTTGTAATATAATTGAGTGATTATGGTTGATTGATTACTGTTGTTGGTTTTCCCAGCGTGCAGCTGACAGTGACCACTGTAAAAAGTCAAGGGGGCTCAGCCCCCCCCCCCCAACTTTTCTTAGTGGGGGGCTCGAGCCCCCCTTGCCCCCCCCCCCCTCCCGGTTGATACGCCTATGAGTGATATCTTTGTTAGCCAGGAATCTAACCAAAATGTGGCATAGTTGCAAGAAGCATGCTGGAGAGCTGTGGTACAATTTTCGTCATTTATGGCTATCCGACAGTGATGGTTCATGGTTGCATTTCGTCACCATCGTTGGTTGCCATTGCAACGGCACAAAACATTTTTGTGCTGAAGTTGTGTTCTTTGCGTCGTCCCGGTGATATGCGGTGCTGTCGCCGGATCAACGGGCGTGTGTGCCGCTGTTACTTTATCTGGTAAAACCCGCCTTGCAAGCAAGTCGAGATGTTATGCCATAAACCTACCTCCATCGTAAAAAAAGGGGGGGGGGGGGCGTAATGGTGTTCAAAATTTATTGGCCTTTGTTCTAAACCATGCAGAACGCTGCTTAAAGCATCTTCGCGACAATACACCGATGCCCTGCAAAAAATTGCGCTATGATTTGGAAGGGGCTGCTAGCACTTTTAACGAGACAGCGAATCTCGTTCACTTACTCATGCGTGTACACTACCGCATAAATGTGAGCTGACGTCTGGAAAAGTTGCTGGCAATGATTTGGAGCTGCGTATGACACTTTTGCCGCCCTAAAAAAAAAAAAAAAAACTGCAAGTTTTTTTTTGCCACCCCTACTCCTCAGTTTCATGAATCCCTTAAATTTCAAGCTTGCCAGCTTGGCAGATCTACATTTTAATTAACAGAGATATGGCAAGTGCTAATGTTGGCTTTATCATTGTTTGCTCAGTGGGGTAGATTGAAATGCTAGTTTTATTCAAACGGCAGTGCTCATGTTTACTCAGCATGATTAAGGTGATCTTGAATGGCCTGAACATACTTTGTTCTTTAAATGTAAGCCATCTTTGCTCTAAATTTTGTCTTTCATGATACAAAATCGATGTTTTATTGCCCCTAACCTGCTTGAAATTTGCATTTTAGTACTCCAAAATTAAGATTCTGCTGCTTCGAAAATTGCTCCAAATTATATTTCGGCTGTTGCACCCCTTGATTTAACAGCTTTGTGTTGGTTTATGCACTGTACAATTGAGGTACTTTTGCCCCATAATTTCACAGGAAGACTTGAAGTCATGTTTATGACACAGGTGCCCTGGTGGACATTGGTATGGCATATGTGATGTTAACGAAATAATGTGTGCTCTTATACTTAGTAAAGCCCTGCCACTATGGGAGCCTAGCTTGTGGTGTTTTGTAAGGTCATATTGTTTGACACTGACTTGATATGCGCTTCTCGGGTGCTGCAGGAATGTAAAGATTTTTTTTTAGTGGAAATGCTGTTAACAGGCTACTGTGATTCATTATAATTATGCTACTGAAAAACTTCTGTATGCTGCTGAAGAACTGGAAACTGGGTGTATGCTGCTAGAGGAGCTGTTCATCTATCAGGATGTACCTTTGCATGAGGATATCCACTATTTTCATCCAGAAAGTTTTAAATCCATTAGATGTGAAGTTTTGCTCCCCCCTTCTCTCCCCACTTTTTTTAAATGCATGCTTTATTTTTTTTGAGGAAACACTGGATGAGGGCTCCTTATGTGAAACAATGTTTCTATTAAAGGTTGCTTTGATTTCATTTCCCCTTTCCCTTCTTTTCAACTTTGATTTTGAGTTATATATGTTTATAAAGATTGATGCAAAAAGAAATCGTGCTGAACTTGTACTTTTGCTTTTTATAGATGACCACAGCAGAGTGATCTTAAAACGTGGGGACAAGGATTATATTAATGCCAGCCTGGTTAAAGTGAAGGCAGCTAATCGCACCTACATTTTAACTCAGGTGAGTTAGTGTTTTCACTTGTGGAGCCATTGCATAATTTGCATGTGAAGTCTTTGGGTAGTTAAAGCAAAAGCAATGTTGCTTTTGGGTGTGTATGTGATGAATGTTGTTGTACTGCTTCATATATTGTCAAGCATTTTTTTTTGCTTGTCTCCTAACACAGTGTTATAAAACAGTGCTGTTACTCTCCCACATTAAGCTAATCTAAAAATGCTACATATAATTCTCAAGCTGTCGCAGTACCTTGTGTAAGGCTTTGGCATTTAGTAAATCTGTCATGCTTGCAAAAAGTGTCATTTACGTGTTCATAATAATCGCTGTTACCACAATAAATTTTGAATATTGTATAGATAAGTACATGTCTACGCTCGTAGAAATCTCAAAAATGTGCTACGAGGCCAATATTGTTACCTGGGTGTATTAGATTCAGCTTTACTACATTAAAAAATTGCATGTTGCCAGTATGAAATATGGTGTCACCTGTTAGGTAGACATCAAAGCACTTTCGAGGCTTGGGATAGTACTCATGCCTCATAGTGTCAAATAAAACAGCCTGTATAATGATGACAAAACAGTTGCAATACTTCATTTGTTCCATAAAAGGACTATCTTAATGAACTTGCAAGAAGCAAAGGCAAATTTTATCATTTCTTGCTGTTGCTGCTGAGAGCAAGTACAGTGCACCGATTCAGATTGACAGTAAACTAATTAAGGGCTAGCACGACTTCACGAGATGCGATGCGGGCTTGTTGGTAGCTCATCTTCAGTAAGTTTCCTTGTAGCGCAGGTAAACAACAGAAAGAAATGAGGGCATATGTCGACAGATAGAGCGCTAACTTCCAACATAGTTTATTCTCAGAAACCATAAAACATTTATGCACTTGTCTGTTGAGTCACAGTCATGTGACTCAACAGACAAGTGCATGAACAAGCAGGCAGGAAACTAGTGAATGAAAGAAAAAAACGAACAACCCTGATTCCTTATGTCCACCGGGTGTCGCACAACCTAAAGAAAATTGCATGGCATAGTGAAACTGATGTTGTTTTCTCAGCGCCTAATAAGCTGATCAGCCTTTGCAGACAGTCAAAACCAGGGAATAAGTTTGTTGCCAACTGCCAAGTAAAACACAGAAATACGTTTGTCAAATGTGTGGCATTAGGCATTCACGCCACTCCCTTGACTTGTGGAAAATGGTACGTTGGGCAATCAGGAAGACGCGTCAATGATAGGTTGCGTGAGCACAAAAATAAAGTTGGAAAAATTGCTAGTGATGATTTTCTTACGCAACATTGTAAACAGCATCAATGTTGCCCTATCTTTGAAAACACCAGAATAATAGCTAGAAGCAAATGGGAAATGATTCTTCTTATAATTGAAGCTGAGCAGATTGTGGCACTTGGCGATGTGTGTCAGCCAGCCATTGATAGCACTGTTAGAAAACGAGTTAACATATGTGCGCAAGACATGAGATGATCAGTGTATATATGTACGTATGTACTAATATTTTTTATTTTGTTTCTTTAGTCACTTGCTCACATGACTGTGACTCAGCAGACGAGTGCATAAATGTTCTCTGGTTTCTGAGAATAAACTATGTTGGAAGTTAGTGCTCTGTCTGCATGTGCCCTCATTTCTTCCTTTTGTTTACCTGCGCTACAAAGAAACTTACTGAAGATGGCACCACTTGTTGGTGTTGGAACTATTGCTAATACTAGTCTCTAAGTTGGCCAGTGTGTTGAAGGGTCATGTCACATAATCCTGAGTTCATGCTGATACAAAGCCCATGGTAATGGGCAAAGGATGGTGGGCATAGTTCAGTGTGGTACACAGCGTTAAATGCAGTAATAATGATGGAAATGAGGGGGGGGGGGGGGGCTATAATGGCATCGTGGCCACGACTTTTGGTTCCCAACAACACTGTTAATACTAGGTGAATATTTGGAGGGATGTCTTTTCATGTTTACCAGGAGTGCTATTGTGGAGTGTTGTTCTTTTTTCTTTGTCCCTTTCACCATCATTCGCAGTCTGTCATTGGTAAAGAATAGCTGGTGCACACTTTTTGACCCATGGCAGAAGTTTAATGGCAGCAAAAGGCATAATAAAAAAAAGGGTATAGCATTGCTCTGTGATAACGCTGCTCATTTATTTGATATCTCGATAGCAGATTTCGCTGGGGTTCTCTCAGTATTTCAATGCTTGGTTGCTTTCTTCCTGGTTACAGGGACCTTTGCCAACAACCACAAGCCATTTTTGGCTCATGGTGTGGGAGCAACGGACTAAGGCCATTTTAATGCTTAATCGCATCATCGAGAAAAGCACTGTAAGTAGAATAACTTGTGGGTTTGTTATTTTTTTCTAATGCATTGCTTCCTGTTAAACATTTATTGGTTAAAGGGACACTAAATGCAACTATTAAGTCGACGTTAATTGTTGAAATAGCGGTCCAAAAACCTCTTAGTGTTACTTTTGTGCCGAGGGAGTGCTTATTTTGAAATAAAATCACGTTTTAGTGGTCCGCATTAGGTTAGCACACTGCAAATTACCCGCCTTAAGCAGAACGTCAAGCAGTGTGGAGATCAACCGATCAGTTATTCAGACTTCCACGCGATTGCGGTGATGACACTGCGAGTAATGATCGGTAAAAAAATGAAGGAGAGGTGGTGACCACCGACAAGCGCGCTGGTATGACTTATCGCTGACGAAAAGCCTTATCACAGTAGGCATCCCCTGTTATCTGCTTTAGGCCTACTGTACCCTTTCAGTAGCCGACTACCTGAATACGCTGAGCCGCTGATCACTGCCGCTTTGTTATGCGAAATCTTGACCAAGTGTGCACCACTATACAGAAACGCAAGCAGCTCACTGTCAGGAAGTGTGGCATTGCGGGTCGCGGGCACCGAAAAACCTTGCTGTATTATGCTGACACGTGCACCGTACAGCAAGCATTGCGCTGTTGTAACCCTGCTACACCAGTGACAGCCCAAGTGCGCCTCTGTTCGATGCCAGGACTGGTAGAGCATTGCGGAGAGCGCATTGCTTGCAGAAAGCTCGTCACGTTAACCCAGCAGGCTACTCCCTGCATCTGTGCATGGCCTGAAGCAGAATGGGCGCACTCTACAGCAAGCAGATCGGCAGTCACAGTGTGCGCTGAGTAAGCGAAGTGCTGCACGCAACTAGCCATGCAAGGGAGAATTTGGCTCTCTGCTACCATACTGTGTTTAAACAAACAAACAAAAATGGTCAGTTTTCGATTAGAAGCAGACCGTGGAATAACTGTATCATGGACAGCTGATAGTGTCCGTTCTGTCGCTGTACCGCGCCGTGTATCACCGACCCGGCAGTAGTTTCGAAATGCTCTGGCGTCGCCACCGCGTGCTATCGAGTGGTTGTGCGAGAGTAAATCTTTTTTCTATTTTGGCAAAAAGAAAGAAATGGCTTTGTGGTGGGCACTTCAAGCAATATTTCCTATGGCACTGAGCCGATTCCTTTGTTGGCAGTGATGGCGCATGTCAGAAAATGCAAATTTGTGGCAGGTAGTTAATACATAGTGCATTTATTGCATAGTTATGCCGCTGTCCCCGGCAGGTATGTATTCATGGAGTTTCACTGTACACACAGACCCACCAAGCCATTCACTGATAACAGGTTTGTGAGCTGCACTTTGAGCAATGCTACATCATTGCCAGTAGGGAAGAAGTCTGAATCTCTTAGGGGAAGCCTACACTTGTCGGGAGGATACTATATTATTGAATATTGCTCGTGTTTCACTAGTATGTGAGCACAAATTGATCCAGGACAGTATTTATATTGGTTGTGACTCTCTGTTACTGGACCTGTGTTGTCCCATTTGTGTATTGCTGAAAAAATGTTTTGTACCTCGTGTGCTTCTAGTTACTGTGCATCGTTTATGCAATGTCCACAGGTCTTAGGTTCATTCCTATCTGGTGGCCTTGTGGATAGTGATAATTCCTGATCCATGATTTGCATCAGCAGTTCACCTGAGAATACTACAGAAGACAGATGTGGGGCATAACCTCCCCTGTATTCTATCCAAAACCACTGGAACCGGTTTTCATTTACCTCTGACCACTTTAGCTTTTCAGGTTTTCCATGAATGCTATGCCATTGCAAAAGAGCAGATGCTTACTTACATCAAATTTTGGTGCTGCTTTTTTGCGTAAATAAGGCGTTTTAATAATGCTGTGCAACTTTTGTGCCTTAGCCTTTAACTTTAACATTTTTGAGCCCTGATGAAACTGAAAACATGTGCACTTATTGTCCTGTGAACTACCTGTTCAGTGATAAAAATATGACATTCTTTTGATAAGATAATGTTCTTAAAACAAGAGCTCTTTAAGGTATAGTGGGGATGGAAATGCAAACTGAGTGGCACTAACATTCTCTGCTCTTTGGAATTTCTTTCCATGTGGTTGTAGCCTGGATGGTAATAAAAAAGCCACTAGAGTCATTCATGATACAATCAACACCAGTGATCCCACTCCTGCGCCAAAGTGCGCTAAATCAGATTTGCTGCACCATCTTGCACCATCAACGGAACTTGGGCCAAACTGCACCAAAGTTTGTTTTGGGAGTGTCCATCACCAGCAATAACCATGCCGGCACGTCAATACATGTGCACCTTGTTCTCTGGGCCACCAAAGTCACAGTGACGTACCTATTTTATTACGCTGAATAAAGAGCGGTCGGGCGTGCGTTTTAAAATCCGCGATTTTATGGTGCCGACTCAACTCTGTTGTGCAAGTCTCCCTCCGCAGGGGCTCATGACGTCTAGTCCAATCAGTAGCGTGAAACTGTGGCAGCAATTCATCGGCGGTTGTCGTTTGTTCCAGGGACGCTGCTGATAGCTCGTTTGAAGTGTTGCACGGCATGTAATAAAGCAATTTTCACTAATAACTGCATGCGTGCCACCAGAATGTTTGTCATGTCTATTTCTGGACATCACGATCTAATTTTCCATGCTTCGCGTCTGCAGAACACGTGAAAGGTGGGAATGCGTTAACACCTTTCTTCTAATATACTTTATTCATGAATCATCATGGAGAAAAGCTTTTTTGTAATTCCTTCTACGAGATCCATGTTTATAATCGCTGTGGTGGTAAAAGACCCTGCCCTTTCGAACTCAAGGTTGCTAGAGTCCAAATTGATAATTCTTGCTTGCTTTCTTTTTAAATATCATATCATGTATAAAACCATGCCTCCTGGTCGGAGCAGCTGCAATGCGGTTATAATACGCGCAGCTTTCAATAGGGACACTATCGCTCCCAATCTTGTGTCGGAAGGACCACTGTGACGCGGCTACACCTTGTTACATGTCATGTTTTGTGTAAATTGGAAAATTTTGCTGCTCTAAAGTGCCCCGAAATGAAAATTTTACTGCTCCAAAACTTGCTCCAAATCGAAACTCCTTGGTAGCATCGCTGCAAAACGGAAGACTTCGGTAGCGTTACTGCAACACCCATTCAGTAAAATCTCGTTAATTCCACCCCCGTTAATTTGGAATATCGGTTAATTCGGCCACGATGTCTGGTTCCGTCTAAAATCTACATTGTTCTACCACTGAAGACAAATTCGGTCACGCTTCGGTTAATTCGAATGCCCGACCGCGGTCGAGTCCCGACGGGGAAGCAGCAGCGGATTCTGCTGGCCAAATCGACGGCGCGCCTATACAACTTCGGGATAGGATTGCGGTCTGAGATTCAAAGCTTCGTCCATGGGTAGTACATCCTGGAGGCACCCCCCCCCCCCCCCCCAAAAAAAAAAAAAAAAAAACAAAAAAAAAAACATGGTGGTTTAAACAACCAAAATGGAAGGCAGTGCATCGCTACTGTCATCAGCAACGGGCAACCTACGGATTTGCCTTTCTTTTTTTCTTGCGCGTCGAACACGTTTGCGTGACAATTGAGTTGGATTGCTCAGCTCTAGTGTGCTTTAAATTATTTATCTGTACATGATCAGTGCCAGTTGCAGTCTTACTGTTTGCTATTTTTTTAAAAAGTTCGCCGGTTTTATTTTGTTTTAATCGCCCGTCTGTTTGTGTTGTCTACTTCGTGCGCGCGCGCGAGCGACGCCAAGATGGCTTCTTCTCCGTCTCCTGTGGCGCCAACCACCCCAACTCTCGCAGCAGAGGGCAAAGTACGAAGCAAAGGATTTGGCTGCGAAGGTGAAAATATTGAAGGCATTGTAAGCGGGAGCATCTCGAAAAGAAGTGATGGAAAAGTTCATTGTGAAGAAAAGCAGGCTGAGCACTTAAGTGAAGAACGAAGAGCAGATTATGCAAGCGTATGACGGGGACATGTTTGGCGACCAGTGGAAGAGGCTTCGAACGGCAGCGCATCCAAAGCTAGAAGAAGCGCTCTTGCGCTGGATTGTCGTTTCGCGCAATGCGCGTTTGCCCTTGAGCGGCCCCCTTATCTGCGCTCACGCAGTGAAGTTTGCGGTGGCCTTGAACATTGGCTCCTTCAATGCGTCGGAAGCCTGGTTCGACCGCTTCAAGAAGCGACACGGGTTGGTTTTCCGCAACGTGTGTGGTGAAAGAGGTGCGGTTGACGAAAGTGTTGTGCAGGACTGGTGGTCTGAACTATCCGCGCGCCTTTCTGCGTACGAGCCGGGCAACATTTTCAACGCTGATAAGACAGCGCTGTTCTATAAGGCTCTGCCTGAGAAGACAATCGCGTTCAAGGGGGACCTGTGCGTTGGTGGAATATGAAGTAAAGAGTGCGTGACAGTTTTTCTGGCTGATAACATGATCGGCATAGAGCGGCTGCCGCTGCTGGTGATCGGGAAGCTGCGAAGCCAAGATGCTTTAAGAATATTAAGCAGCTGCCTGTCGACTACTGGTTCAACAGAAAGGCTTGGATGACTGCCGAACTCTTTCAAGCCTGGCTGCGTCAGCTCGACCGCCGCTTTGCGGCCAAGGCTCAGAAGGTGTTGTTCGTGCTAGACAACTGTAGTGCGCACACGAAGGTGGCCGGGCTCGAGAACATTATACTGCTATTCTTGCCTCTGAACACAATGGCTTCCCTGCAGCCGATGGGCCAGAGAATCGCACAGTTCGTGAAAAGCTGCTATCGACAGCAGGTACTTGAGCGGATGTTGCTCTGCATTAGAGTCAGGCAAGCAGTACGAAGTAAGTCTGCTAAGTGCAATCCACATGCTGACATACGTGTTGGAACAACAGACTGCCTGAAGTAGTTGCAAACTGCTTTAGGCGTAGCGACTTTGTGCATGACGCTGCTGATCCGGGGTGGGGGCTGATGAGAAAACCGGCGAAGAGCAAGATGGCCGCTATGTGAGCATCATGCCAGCTGATGTGCCCCTGGGCGATTACTTTGCAAGTGACAGCGATGTTGCCGGGGCTGGCACAGTTACCGACAGCGATATCGTCGCCGAAGTCTTGGACGGCGAAGGGGAATCGGCTGACGAGGATGTAAGTGATGCTGTAGAGTGTTCACGCCACACTATGACGGAGGCTACGCATGCGTTGTTCGTTTTGGAGGACATATGCATGCTTTCCTCGGACAGCGTGCGCGGACTAAGCCACCTGCAGGAACTTCGCAAAATTGTGACTTCGTCGCATATTGCATCCTTGAAGCAAACCGCGATCACAGAATTTTTTAAGAAATAAAAGTCTGATGGTGCAGGAAACATTTTTCAAGTGTTTTGTTCGTACTCGCGATAATTCGTACCCTCGGTTAATTCGGACATTTTCTCCGGTCCCGTGAACTCCGAATTAACGGGGTTTTCCTGTATCTTTTTATTGCCATTAAGGGGAGATGCTACTCGAACACACTTTTTTGGTAACATTCACCCTAGAGCAATGAAACTTGAGCTGTTTATGGAACTGCTTATGCTGATTTCAAATATATAATTAGTTTTCTTGCAAGTTGCATACTTGTAGCCCTGCAACATGACAAAGTGAAAACTTTAACCCTTTTGCCCCCCTCTTTTCATCCCTGAACTTCCCTAATTTTTTACCATTCATAGTTCATAATGTTTGAAATAAAGTGTAGAATGCAAATAACTAATTAGGAGACACATACAATAGAATGCAAATAACTAATTAGGGAACACATACAAAATATGTAATAGGCATGAAAAGTAATAGACGTAAAAAGTCCATATTTCACCTATCCTAGTACAGGTTTACGTACAGTGTTTTTTATTATACAATAAAATATTGAAATTTAAACTAGATAATTGCATTTGCCATACTTTGAAAAAAAATTGGGCAAAATTTCATGCAGATCCGAGCACTAAAAGTGCCCGAAAAAGGAGGGGCACGTAGAAAAAAGTGACAAAATGTGTGTTTTGAGAAAACGAGTTTTAAAGTTAAAATTGAGTTTTTATTTATGAAAGATGTCACTAAATCTGATGAAATTCGACAACCAAAAAGAACAATCCTTCTTGTAGTGGCCACTGCCACTCAAATACGCCAGCACCATAAGTTTGCCTCTCTCGACTCTTTTGAGCCGAAACCTCACAGACATTTCGCTCACAGACAGGGCCATGAAACGCTTGCCAAGCTTCCGCTGCATCTGGCAGAGCCATGTGCCAACTGCAAGCTAGGAAGAAGTTCGACAGGACTGCGAAATCCAAACTAAGTCCAGTGTCATGCCATTTTGCGGCCATGCTTGGGCTACATACCGTCGTACATATTGGCAATGTCATACCTGCTAAGTTCCCTCACTGCGAGCTTTTTTGACCTCACAAGATTGGCGCTGACATTATCCATTGCCCCATCACGAACTTTCTGGCTGACTGGTGTGAATGAGTTTTGATGCATTGGCTTTTGCAAGCCAACAACTGCCGCAAATCGGACCAGCTGCTCGTAGCCTATCCCTACAGAGCGCGCGGCGCAATGGCTTTCACTTGCGAGCAATGGCTTTTTTCATTCATAACGGAGATAATTACACGAGAAAAGCATTGTTCAGCTGCGCTGCTCGACAAGACATGGACCCCGCAAATAGGCTTGACAGCACATACAGGCGTGCAGCGGCCAATGGCTGTTTCTCGTTCGTACCACGTGATAAGCTAGTCGCGGCACTTGAAAAACGCGCAGAAGTGTGCTTCTTATTATTTCTTGCGCTGCATCAGAGAAGGAAACTGTTGTTATTTGAAGAGTGAGGCTCGACTCTTTGGCTCATGCGATCAACAATGGCGAGCGGCGACGCATTATCGGCGGCAAGGTGCTCGAAGACTGCACACTTCGGACCTTTTAACAAGCACCTTGTGCTCTTTAGATGCAATTTTAAAGCATTTCCAGTCTTGACCTGTATTATTTTTTTCACAACAGTAGAGGTACTAATCTTGTCAAAATAGGCGAAAATAAAAAATCGCTAATTTTGAAAAAAACTCGTTTTTTGACCCGCATCTCTCCTTAAGGTCGTAACATGATGAAAACGGCGTGCCGTGCTGTTCACATTCATTTCCATCTCCCCCATCCCCCCTCTACATGTCACTTGAATATAAACATTTGACAGAAGTCTGTCTGGTTGGGTATGAAACTGGGAGATGATTTAGACTCCAACCAAAAGTTTTGAAGAAACCTGATGTTTCGAAACTGACTTGGTTCCTTCCTCAGGGGTGATTGCGGAGACAATGTAGCAGCGGTGTCTCCGCAGAGATAAGAGCTAACAACTTGCGCTCCAATGGCACAGATCAAAAGAAAGAAGAGGCCCGCGTAATTGCGTATCTCAGAAAAACGAATACCCAAAAACTTCATTCGAGCCGCCACCCGCCGCGCAGAGCAACAGAGGATACGAAAACCCCTATCAACCTTAATTGGCAGCCCCCCGAAACGTGTACCGGTTCCATACGTTTAGGGAACCAGCGAGATGTTGGCGCGTATCTTCAAGAAGGAAGGGGTTCGCATCGCGCATGTGCCTTCGTGTACGCTAGGCTGCCTCCTCCCCCGCCTGAATGACCGGCCAACAATGGACCGCACCCCCGATGTCGTTTACAGAATTTTGTGCGCCTAGTGCCCCTCTTCGTATATCGGCGAGACGAAAGACCTACATGAACGACTGAAGCAACACGCCAACGATGTGCGGAAGTTCTACAAAGAACGCAGCGCAGTCACCGAACATGCTGAGACGTTGAATCACCGGATAAATTTCGAAGCGACGGCCATCCTTGAAAGCCAGCCGAACTGGAGGAGAAGGTTATTACTGAAGTCGTGGCACATATAGAGGACAGCCCATTACATCAACCGCTCTCTCGGAACGCTTTTCTCAGTGTATACACATGGACTGCGCTCCACGGCAAAACGAGAGAGAGAGGAGGGTCATTATCCGCCCCGCGAGTGCTTTGAAGACGCCGCTGCTACGTAGTCTCCGCAGTCACCCCCCGAGGAAGGAACCAAGTCGCTTTCGAAACGTCGGGTTTCTTTAAAACTTTTGGTTGGAGTCTAAATCATCTCCCCTACCTGTCACTTAAGATGAGTCCGATAAGTCATGCTGAGATTATAAAGTTTTATCATGTCCTACATTTCCCACAATTCTCATACATTTGAGTAACCCTCTTGACTTAATACAAAAAATGATTTGTGATCAGGGCATTTATGGAACACAAGGCTTTGTGCTTCGACCATCAAGGGTTACAAAAACATCTGCTGCACATGAATGACAGGCAGATACAACTGAAACTAAATGAAAAAACCGAGGGTGCCTCCAAAGTGCCTAGCTTGCGTGTGGTGCAGTTGTACCTTGAGTAGCAAGCAGTGACTGCAGCGTCACCACTATGGTTGCTCTGCAACTTCTCACGCGGCTAGGTGCGGTCATAGCCCATAGCAGTTCTAGAAAATTTACTATAGGTGCACTCTTTGCAGCTCTCTAAGAAGCAGTAAATTGGGCATATTGAGCTTGCAATGAAAATTCGTTAGCACACCTGAGGATAGAAGTGGAAAGGGAAAGTAAAAACAAGCATAAAAGTTGTTTGAGTAAAAAAAAAGTTTAGGCTATGTATGATAATGCATGCACACACACACACAAACGAAACAAGATAGCACCTTCAGGAATTGTCAAAAATGAATACATACCGCATTATAAAAGTTGAATTGTGCTAATGTGGAAACTACTTGATGCAGTGTTGTCGTTTTGCTGGCCCTATTCCAATTTTTCTTCAAGTTGCAAGTACGTTCACCCATAACTTTTGTTTGTAGGTCAAGTGCCATCAGTACTGGCCAATGAACCTGGATGAAGAGCTTGTGCTCACTGGCGTAGGACTCAAAGTGGCCTTTCTTGGCGAAAAGCCAGCAACCAACTACACTGTTCGGGAACTCATGCTAACCGACCTTGAGGTGAGGATTATGAACTTCCTTGCTTGTATATTTCAGAATTGCAGAACCATTTTACTACAGTAGCGTACCAGTACTACCTTATATGTGTACAGTAAAAGCTCGTTAGCCCGGATCTCATGGGACCAGTGAAAATGTCAGTTAAACGAATTCCGGCTTATCAAATGAACCATCAAAACAAAAGGAAAATGCACTCAGCACATACAAACCTTTATTTCATAAAAACTGTGTCAACTTAGTCTGCTTCGTCATCAGAATTAGTGCTAGAATGATCTTCTTCAACCCCATGTGGTGGTGGTGTGCACGCTCGCTGTCGCAAGAACTGATGCAGAACTCCGCGAGGGCTTCGGCAGCCTCCTGCACGGCGTGATGTCATGTCGGCTAATCTTGAATGTCATCTTCAGAACAGTGATTCTGATCCTCTTCACGCACTGCCGATAATAGGGAGGTGCTCGCAACACGTGCTCGCAGGTGTTACTGGTGTTTCTTTAGTTGTGGGTGCCGTATGAGTTTTAGAATAGCGTGTGCTCCCCCTAGGGAAAAGTCCAGGGACTTTCACCCCGACTGAAAACCCGTATGCACAGAAGCTACACACAGCACCTCGATCGCCGCACGCAGCGCGATCGCCGCACGCTATTTCAAATTTTCTGTGGGCAAGCGGCGAACAGCGACTCGCGTTACAGCGCATGCGCAGTGGCAGCGACCGCACCGCAAGGGCTCGCAGTATGCTATTCATCAGTCAGCGAACCAGAAACGGCCAGAGCATCATCAATGTCAACAAACACAGCCTGAGAACGTAACGACCGTTTCTATGTCAAAGCGCCAACTTGCCCAACAGTGAACTCTTTTGATGTGCCCGAGCTGCACATGCTATGCGTGAAGTCACAACGCAAAAAAATAGCAGCGTAGGAGTCGCGGGCAACTGGCGTAGCGGAGGCTGCGCAAACTGTCCTGTTGTCCGCATATGCGGCACCATGTCCGGCGCATTTCACAGACACTGGATGCACCGGCGGTCCAAGCGCTTTTGCCGGGTGATGACTAGCGCCACCTGGCCACTTCTCCCCTGATTCACTATCATCATAATCATCATCATCATCATTAGCCTGACTACGTCTACTGCAGGACAAAAGCCTCTCCCATGTTCCGCCAGTTAACCCGGTCCTGTGCTTGCTGCTGCCAATTTATACCCGCAAACTTCTTAATCTCATCTGCCCACCTAACCTTCTGTCTCCCCTTAACTCGCTTGCCTTCTTTTTGAATCCAGTTAGTTACCCTTAATGACCAGCGGTTATCCTGTCTACGCGCTACGTGCCCGGCCCATGTCCATTTTCTCTTCTTGATTTCAACTATGGTATCCTTAACCCCCGTTTGTTCCCTAATCCACTCGGCTCTCTTCTTGCTAAGTACCGGCAAGATACAGCTGTTATATACCTTCCTCTTGAGGGATAGTGGCAATCTACCTGTCATAATTTGAGAGTTCTTGCCAAATGTGCTCCACCCCATCCTTATTCTTCTAGTTACTTCAATCTCGTGGTTCGGCTCAGCGGTTATTACCTGCCCTAAGTAGACATAGTCTTTTACAACTCGAAGTGCACTATTACTTATCTCGAAGTGCTGCTCTTTTCCGAGGTTGTTGTACATTACTTTCGTTTTCTGCAGATTAATTTTAAGACCCACCTTTCTGCTCTCCTTGTCTAACTCCGTAATCATGAGTTGCGATTCGCCCCCTGAGTTACTCAGCAATGTAATGTCATCGGCGAAGCGCAGGTTATTAAGGTACTCTACATTAACTGTTATCCCTAGTTGTTCCCATTCTAGGCTTCTGAAAACCTCCTGTAAGCACGCGGTAAATAGCATTGGGGATATTGTGTCCTCATGGTCATATTGTGCTGCTGTTCCTTCAGTTTCAGTTTCTTCAAAACTTTGGTTCCAGCTGGGACTTCATGCTTTCACAAACCGGAATCGGTTACTAAAAGCATGAAGCCCTGATAGCCCTCCCTAGAATCATCCGAATTGACTGGTGTGCAGCTAAATCACTCCACATTACTGAGCATTTGACACCATTAAAATGTACACAGTTTTGCCGGGACCGCGCGGCGTGTCCGTTTTAACCAGATTTTAGGGCTAACGAGATCCGGGTAAAGAAACTTTTACTGTATACATGTGTAATGATTACACCCATGTAATAGTTTCAATCTGAACATCGTTAAAAAGTCTTCCCCCAAAGTACTTCAACATATTATCCGTGTATTAGCCGCACCTGTAATTTTTTGGAAGGTTATCTGCTCTGCAGTGTGACAATTCCAAAGCTTTTTTTTTTTTTTTGGACAAAACAAGGCGGTTTTGCCATGTTTTCGGTGTTTAGGTGAAAAATGTTAAGAAGATGATGACAGCTCATTGTTTTAGGCTTGTAGTTCTAATAGGTTTTAGGGAGTTTATCGTGGCTAGTATAAGGGGAGACACGGCTCTTGGGAACCGAAAATTTGTCAAAAAATTGAATTTTCAACCATGGCATTTTCATAATATTTCTACCATCTCACACCTGTGTGCAAGTTTTCGTTTCAAAATCTTGCATATTAGTGGTGTAACAGTAAATTAAAGATGTGTTGGCACGCTTCCAGCCCTTAAAATTGTGGTCAAATCGCAGTTATTTCGGCTGCCTGTAACTCTTGAAAAGCCTGCTTTGTTGCGGCCATTTTGGTACCGTTGAAAAGCTCTCACATTTGGCTTTTTTTATCGCTCGATCAGGCAACATTGAGTTTGCCACCTTCTCAATTAGAAAAGAGGAAAAAACTAGGCGTAAAATATCGCCATTGGCCACTTCAGAACACATGGCTACAATGGTGTCATCCGATTGGCATAGGGCTGCATTTGAAAACCTGGCTAGTTGGGGCGTACCGTTGAAAAGCTCTCACATTTGGCTTTTTTTATCGCTCGATCAGGCAACATTGAGTTTGCCACCTTCTCAATTAGAAATGGGGAAAAAAACTAGGCGTAAAATATCGCCATTGGCCACTTCAGAACACATGGCTACAATGGCGTCATCTGATTGGCATAGGGTGCTGCATTTGAAAACCTGGCTAGTTGCGGCGCCATTTTGCCTTAGGTTATGACCATAGGATGAACGTGCCTGGAGGACTGAAAAAGTTCCACTCGGTGTATCAGTTCGGGCGAAGGCGAGCCAAAATGAAAAAAATGTGCTAACGGTACATCACGGGTTTCTGCAACCGATCAGCAAGCGACCATCGTTGTTTTGGCGCACGATAACGGCGATGGAGGTGATTTTGGTACGCTCCACAAAGCCACGATATTGCGCCGCTCCACAACCGATGAGCTAATGACTAGCGATGCCGGGGCACTTGACATTGTCGGCGCAGTTGATAGTGGTCCGCAACGTGAGGACTTGTTATCATCCGGCTTTACAAGCGATCAGTGAGAGACCCGCAATGATGCAACTGACAGCCGTCTGCCCGAGAACCACGGCATCTAGCCATCTGCGAGTTGACGCTGTAGCTGTCACAAGCAGCAACATAGCTCAAGCAGGTCATGCTTGAGCGACTTGAGTCAACACCGGCAACTGCACGAAAGACTGCACTTTTTACAGATGCAAGTGACGTGTCACTGGCGTCCACCACGGACACTGCAGCTTCGTATTTGATGGTCGACTTGGAGATCCTGAATGTGCTTCTTGCTGCTTCCCTTTGGTGCAATGTATGTGGCGGGTGTGCGAACTAGTCACGGATGACCGAAACTACTGCCTCGATTAGAAACTGATAATCGTGCAATGTATTTGAGATAAACATTTTATTCACGCATTCAATGCTCTGTAGTAGCAACGGCCAGACAATCACGAACGACATTTTCGCGTTGATGGGAATGTCGTGGCAGGGGCTACACAATAAAACTTCTCAATGGCAATTTTTTTGCCCGTTTCTCCAAAGTGGCACTTCTGATAGTGTTATACTGGAGCAACAATATCTCTGGTTCTACTCATCAAGTCTCAATAATTACTTTTTTGTCAGAAAGGTGGCGAATTGACAAGTGCGGTAGGACTAGTATATCATTGTATGTTATAAAGAACATTTACAAAAATAATTTTTTTGAATCTATTATAGGGTTTTACAAGCAAATTTTGAGATGCCCTAATTTTATTTGACATTGTTTTAAATATAATTCTTGTGTGATATTCACCGTATATTATTCTCGATGACTGTAATTATCAAAAGTAACCTCGACCAAGAGCAGCTTCATTGTTAAAAATAAATACCAGTTCAACTGCTCAGTCGAAACTTGCGATAATGAAATCCTGAGGGAACAAATTCTCACCGCAAATAAATATTTTCAGATAACTGGCGAACGGCCACAGGAGTCAATACAATACATTTCGTAAGTCGCGATTACAAAGCATATTTTAACCGCAGTCTCCCACTAACGAAATTTTCTACGAGTGTGCGCAAATAATTCACTCTCGTAACATTGACTGCATTCATAAACTGCTCAAATGCATTCGTGTACACTAAATTGCACAAACTCAAATGAAAGCCGCCATTATGATTGGCGATCATGGTGATGATGATGGTTTGCCCATTGGTAAGGGTGACTGCACAGTGTCCCAACCAAAAATGTATTTAATTAGCAGTAACTACTACAGCAGTAACAACTACTTTAAAAAGAAACCACAAGAATCTGAGGCGGCTTAGTAGTGGGCACTTGCTAATATCTTAAAGGGCCAGTAAACCACCCTGAGGTCCAAAAATTTTAATGAAAAAAAATAGTTGCTTTTTTTTATGTGAACATGCTGCCGAAAGAATTTTGTGAATACGTGCTATAATAAGAGAAGTTACAAGGGTTACAGCATCCGTTTCTTCCATTTTCAAATTTTCGCGTGGTTGCTCACCACCCTTTTCCGCCATGAGAGGAAAAGGAGTAGCTCGTCATCTTGATTCAGCTCACTTTGGCAGCATGCTACGACATCCATGATACGTCATCGGCGTGCAACCAAT